AAAGGTCAAACCTTAGCCGAAGACTTATGCGATAAGCAGGGCAAATTAATTTTGAAAAAAAATGCCGTTTTAACGGAAAAAAATCTTCAAACCTTACAAAGCACTCTGCAAAAGAAAAAAATAAGTAGTATTGTTGTTCCTCATTCCACTAATGATTTATATGCTATTAAAATAAAATCACCAACAAATAAAGAAAAAACTATCTTAGTAGTTGGGATTGGGGAAAACCTGCCCGAAGAAAAAACTTACTTTGACTTGGCAGATTTAATTTGTGCGGTAACTAGTTATATTAATCTACATCATGGTCTAGGCAATACCGAAAAAAGGGAGGATGAGGACAAACTAGAAAATCAAATTATTCGTCGGATTGGTGATTTAGTTTACAACATTTTCGACAACAAATTAGGTGGTTTTTTGCAGGATATTGATAATAAATATTTATCAAATTATCTCTCCCAATTAAAAAAAGTGGATTTAGCCAAAATACCTAATTTAAAAGACTTTGACAACCTCATCAAACATTTTTTTAATACCTCGGCTTTAGTTCGCTTACAAAACCAAAATAATCCCTTAGCAGTTATCTCGGATGGACTAGTGTCAAGTGTGATGGGATTGGGAGGACGTAATTCAGTTAATGCCACCTTGGCTGCCCGGAACGTTGACTCTTCTTTCAGTGGACGCTATGACCCAGTAGAAACCCCTGAGGGAAGAAATACTGGTCTGGTTCGTCGAATAACGATTGAGGCCGGGATAAATGATGATGGACAGATAACAACCCCCTACTTTCCAGTCCGCAACGGAGTGCTGGTTCCTTCCTTAGTTTATTTAACTAGCGAAGAAGAAAAAGACAAATACATTGCTCATTTTAACATAAAAATTGATGAAAAAAATAGGGTTATGGAAGAAACAGTATTGGCGGTTCACCAAGAGAATTTTGTCCGAGTACCCAAAGAAAAATTGGATTTTATTTATAGTTCTTTTTATCACTTAAACTCCGTAACTAGTGCCACAATTCCTTTTTTTCACCATAATGATGCCACCCGCATGCTGATGGCAACCAACATGCAGCGTCAAGCAGTAACCCTATTGAAAAATCAAGAACCATTAGTAGCCAGTGGCATCGAAGTCAGTCTGTTAAATAATTCACCGTTAGTGGTTAAAGCGGAAGAACAAGGAACAGTAGAATATGTCGACAGCGGCCAAATTATTGTTAAAGAGAAGAACAAGGAAAAAAAAACTTATCAATTGGAGCAATTAGTAGTTTCCAATAAAAATATTCTCAACTTCTCTTCTCCGCTAGTAAAAAAAGGCGATAAAGTTGAAAAAGGACAAATGATTGCCTGCGGGAACCATGCTCACAATGGAGAATTATCATTAGGCTATAACTTGCGAGTGGGATTCTTTTGTTTTGGTGGCTACAATTATGAAGATGGGTTTGCCATTAGTGAAAGACTAGTTAAGGAGGACATTCTTACTTCCTTTTTTGTCAAAAAGCATACGGTTATCCGTCATAATACTAAGTATGGTCCGGAAATATTTACTTCTTCTTTTCCCCGTGCCGAAAAAAATCAATTTCCTCACTTAGATAAAAACGGAATAGTAAAAATCGGTAGCAGAGTAAAAGGTAATGATATTTTAGTTGGCAAGTTGACGCCTGAACCTAGCCCTCACAAGGAAGCCGAGGAGGAATTATTGCTGATGAGTATCTTGGGAGAAAAAGCCCAGCGATTTGTTAATTCTTCCCTCCGATTACCAGCCGAGGAAGCTGGAATAGTTTACCAAGTCAAAAGAAAAAAAATCACCAAAAGTAAGAATGATTTAGAATTAGTAGAAGTTTACGTGGCTCAGAAAAGAAAAATAGAGATTGGGGATAAATTAACTACCCGTTTTGGTAATAAGGGAGTAGTCGCTAAAATTGTGCCCGAGGCCGATATGCCTTTTGATGAGGAAGGAAAACCGCTGGATATAATTTTTAATCCACTGGGCGTCCCTACCCGCATGAATATTGGTCAGTTGTTAGAGACCATCTTGGCTTTGGCTTCCCACAAACTTAATACTAAACTTCTTTGCCGACCCTTCAATTCCCCTTCTCCAGAGGCAATTAAAGAAATTATCCAGGAATCCGGAATTAAAAATTATGGGACTCAAAAATTGTTCGACGGCCAAACTGGTCTACCCTTTTCTCACGAAATTTATACCGGATA